GAAATATATATTATAATTAATTATATATATCTGATATAGAATTAATTATATTACAAAATATAATACAAAGTTTAATATAAAATATAATTTAAAATGTAATACAAAATAATTTATTACACGAAAATGTCCAAAATATTCATATAATGCAAAATTTACTAGAAATTTTTAGATCGGATATAGCTGATAAGAAACGATTAATACGATATTTATGATTAATGATCAACATGTAATTACAAAGCTTATTAATTTTTATATAATGCAAACGATTCTGACCAAAAGAGTTGTTAATAAAGTTATCAATCGTTCTTTAATTAAAAAGAAAAAAGTACTTAGATTATACTGGCGCATTTTGCGTAGAGTTCCAAAGAAAATATCCGAGAAAAGATAGACGAAGCTTCAATGTAAATCAACGATTAAATCACAAAATAAATCGCGATTTAAAATTTGCGAAAAAAACGTGACGAATAAATAAATCGACGATAGCCGTAATATTCGCGATTCCATTATATATGCAATCGGAGAAACAATATAATTACTACATACTTAAATGAAAATGTTTCGACGAACATTTGGAGCGCTTTTTATAATCGCGTCTGTGATATAGAACATTCGTATACAATTTGAATATAAAATCTAATGCCCGATTTATTTCCAAATGAGTGATTTTAATAAATTAAATTAAATTAAATTAAATTTCGCAATTGAGAATAGGATATATGTACCGTTTCACGGAAGATTGACTAAACAGTTAGATTGGTAAAACCATATAAATCTTAAAATACCGTTATTAAAAAAACTGCGCGTTATCGCCGCGTTCAATGGAGGATAACTGGCCCAACAATTTGACCAGATCAAGGTTCCTCCGCCAGATAACACGCTAGTTAATATCCGACAAAGACAAGAACAATCCTAAAAGTGGAGAACGATCAACTTCTTGCTTCTACATCGGATCCCGCAAGATCAATCCGCAAAGAAAAGTTAAGTGATCCGTTGAATATCAGGGGCCCCGCTGTAGGAGGGAACGAATTCCGGATCTTCCGCACTACTCCCAATAGCAATGATTTCGGTAACAAATTAACGACAGTTACCATTGTCATTATCTTCAATCCATGAGATTGAGAATCGCGCGAGAAAATGTGTTCTTCCATTATTAAGAAATATATCTCTTTATTGAAAAATGAATGGATATAGCAATTTTTATGGAAATGTGGTTACGAACGACTATATTTGTAGATAATAAAATACATGCACCTTTATTGTAGCTTATATTAAATGTGCGAATACAAATAATTTTTGGGTACCAACTGTTCGAGACGAATCGAACCCGATAACAGCAAAATTTAAAAAATTTAGTTTGAATACTTGCAACATATAAAATAAATCAAAATAATATAAAGCATAATTAATTCTAAGTTATAATTAATCTTTTTTGTAGCATTTAAATACATTAATTTGCCGATATTTCACTGATATCGGGGTACCCATACGCACATTTTACATTATATTCATATTAATATAATATTTTGTAGCATAATATTTAAAAAATGTAAAAATTTTATGAAATAGTATGTTAAATTGCGCATGTATTTTAATATATATATAATGGTATATCTAAAAACTATCCAAGATATGCACCTATAGAATGGAGGGATGTCTAATACCTGCAAATGATTTCTTAAAAGAAACCACAAAAACTAACGTTAATATTCTCAATGCCTAGAAATATTTTCTCAAAAAAGAAAAAAATTATATTAATTAAAAATTAATAAATAAAATACATTCGTTCGTAACCATAATGTTTGTATCGAAAAAATTAACAGAAACGGGCGAACTGATTACAATTTGAAATTACTTGAAAAATAAAAATTTATACCTGCAAATGATTTCTTAAAAAAAAGAAACCATAAAAACTAACGTTAATATCCTCAAGGCCTAGAAATATTTTCTCAAAAAAAATAAAAATTATATTAATTAAAAATTAATTAATAAAATACATTCGTTCGTAACCATAATGTTTGTGGAAGAAAAAATTAAGAGAAACGGCCAAACTGATTACAATTTCAAATTACTTGAAAAATAGAAATTTAAACACAATAGCTATATCCATGTTCAATCTACTATTATGTTTTTTTAGCATTAAGACAATAATAATATTAATATTAATAATGATGAAAGAACACTGTTAATAAAGAGGAAGAAAAATATATCTTTTCTTCAAATATACTATTTAAATTAATTTTCTGATTCGATTTCGAAAAGGCGTGCGGCAGTCGTCATTGAGTTACTACCAAAATCATTGCTTTCAATGAGTCTTCACATTCTTATTCAATAACTTTTTTATTAAACCAGAAGAATTAGCGATATTCATGATATTTATAAAATTTGAAATAAAATTTCCCGAATTTATCAACAATTCTTTGATATGAAAAAACAAGCTCTAAGTTTATAAATATTTTTAAAATAAATAATACAGAAAAACTAATATTTAATAAATATATTAATTTAGAATTCCTATTATATTGCCATTATATAGCAAAGTTTTAATCAATATGATAATATATGAATGGGCTATAAAAAATTTAGATAAAATCGGCGCAATATAACAATAAGTTATTACTATCACAGTACAATTTACAATTAATAATGCTATCAGTATCAAAAAGATATATCCGATATATTCAATAATACAGATAATTTGATACTGACAGCATTTACATCTAAAAATTCAATATTATATAAATTGACATACCGATATAACAAACATATGCAAGTTTTAATCTATAAAATAAAATGTAACATATATGTATTAATTATTTAATTTTTAATTTAAATTATAGAAAATAATAATTTTTTATTTTAATTTTTT